TATGTAACAGGAATGACTCATGTTTCCAGTGCAATGGAGCAGTGATACAGCCCAGGAGGTCTTTTTCGTTCCTCTTGGCAATCAGTTCACACTAGTATGTGAGTATTAAAAATTGGCCTGATTAGAAAAAGGAAAGCTGGTGATGATTCAGACAGAGAGGTACTCACACGCGTGTGCTCTTAGGTGTTGATTTAAATTATTATAATGATCAAAGATATACAGATACTTTTTGTATGAGATGGCCTTTGACTCTCTTTGCTCCACATAATAAGGATAGTGTAATATAAAGATGTTTTCCCAGATCAATAAAGGGAGAGAACATGGGATATTTGTCTTTAAGTATTACCAATAATAAATAACAAGATGAATTACCTGTACTTGTTTTCTTCTCCAAAGAAGCATGAAGAATTTTAACTTTTGCATCATCATGCTTTCTCTTCCAAAGGAAGATGACAGAGTTTGGAGCTGGTGCACAAGGCTGATGACAGCCACTGTACACACCCTTTGCCATTTTCCTTTTAATGATTTACTATTTGGATGATCATTAGCTGAAAAGAAAAAATGTTTCCATAAGAATACAAGACATCCAGGCTCATATCCCTAATTACTATTCTTTGGAAAGATGACAGCACATTTCGCTGTAATTATTGCTCAGCTGGATGTGTGCTTATGAAAAAAGAACTCATTTCAGATTATTGTATAGAATGTTAGGATGGCACTCTCTAATGTGTGGTGTTCGAAACCAGCAAAGAATAGACTTGATATTCTATTGATTTCTAAGCATAGCAAAATTATTTGCAATAGATCTTGTGAATATTCAGTTTCTTTAAACAGAAATTGAGAAACTTGATGTTAAAAAAAAGTTTTAAAACTGAATTGAAAGCAGGATTAGACAAAGACATTACTGATGACAGCTGGATTAGTTTAAAAGGCAGCAAACCAACGTTATGGCTACTGTAACTTCATCATGCAGAGAATCCATGCTTGAATGTGGTAAATTAGCCCAAAGCATTTTAGTATGTCCTTAAAACATAGTCCTCTTTAAAAGCTGACCAGAAAAACTGGAAGGTGCTGCTTGAAATATGTGATACCTGGGTGTGTAGGTGTCTCCCTGCTTATTTTCATGATGCAATTATGTTGTCATTGCACTTTTTTTTACTGGCTAATGAAGTCTTTTTCACTGTGTGAGCTGGATTTTCTTTCTGTGTATCAGCTGAAATTTGGAAGGTTTGTGCACTTAGGAATGTATTAAAGCAACTATAAAAGTAACTGAAAGCAGAATCTTACTCTGGATTTTCTACTGAAAATAATTCAATACACAAAAAAATCAGCGTAATGAATTTTTGCTCAGATGTGTTAGGTGAAGAAGTTGCCTATGTATAATGAGGAACAGTACTTAGCCAATCATATCTGAATTACTGGTCATCTTGGTATAAAAGGATGCATATTCAGTCCTATGCTGTATTTTTCTATAATATGTGAAGGAATTTCATTGAATTGCAAAAACAAGTTGTCCATGCCAATTTTCAGGACAAAACAAAGCATGACTTGATGAAACTAGCACCTTACACTTGTCTTAACTTAGATCATTAACTTACTTAAAATTCAGTCCAGTTAGCATAATGACTGCATCCTGCTAAAAAAACCCAAACAACCAACCAAACCAGCTATCTTCTTTTGAACTCTCTAATATCTTTTGGTAGTATAAATTGATGCTGAATCAAGAATAACTACACAATGTTTTGCCAAAACATTTGCATTTTGTGCAGTACAGCTTTTCTATGATGTCTAATGCTTACTGAATAAAAGCTGTATACTGAATCTAAGTTAAGCTAAGGTGGTTCCTTTTGTTATGATATCTTTTCATTTTGAAGATGGTAGCACCTACATAGCTTTTATATAATATGTTAATGGATATTTTGCTTAGTAAAGCTTAATAAACTGAAGTGAGTATCAGAAACTATTGTAGAAAAGATAAAATGTTATGAAACAGTCTTGTTAAAAATCTGACCATGGCCACTATATATTAAGGTGCTAAAGGACGCATCAAGGATCATCTTGCCAAAAGGCAGAGATCTCAAAGCAAGCCAAGAATGTTTAATGAAACAAAGAAAACCTACTGACTCAAGAACTTCTAGTAAAGGGAGACGAGGGCCTTCAAAAAAAGGTGTTGGCATTTATACCTGTGTTTGTACAGCTGTATTTGTAAAAGAGTTGGAAGTATTTGCTGCTGCATTCTAAGATTATGTTTGTACACCATGCTTGTACAGGAGCTGGAAGTATTTACTGCTTCATATTGAGAGACATCAGCTGTCTTCATGCTAGTCCTGGCTTACCTCCTTTCATACATTGCCATTAGTGTTTGAGTTGACCTGCCTGTACCTTATGACAAAGTAATGAACTAGAGGTAAAAATCTGTTGGAGGAGCAGAATTTGAGTTGGATGAGCAATCAGAAGTGGAATGGAGCCTATTACACATCTAAAACCAGTCCACGAATATACTTCCAACATGGGGCAACAGTAGCTATCGCTTTGACTTGTGCTACCGCCTGCCTTCTCCTAAACCAGCACTTCCAGCTCCCTATCCCCCTTTGACACGTTTCATTCCATGTCTTGTGCTGTATTTATACTGCTGAAAACAGAACTCTGTGTTTCACTAAAATCAATTGCTAATCCCCTACTATTGGGAAGCCTCTGAAAGCTGAGGCAAATACCATTAGAGCAATGTCATTGCCTGGTGTTCCAGTAAATGTGTTAGTTTGTCTGCCCAAACCTGCTGTCCAATCATTCTTGAATGAGCAGAGAAATCACCAGCTGTCAGGCCTGATAATCTTAAAAAAATTTAAACCATTTGCAAATTAGTTGAAATGTATTTGGTTTTTTACCCCCCAAAAAATGCGACATTGGAGCCTACAAGTGATTTACTATACTATTTATCATTGAAGGAAGTGTGTGTCTGTATATATATTTGAAAAGAATAAAAATTGGGGTTTGCATTTCTGCAATGCATGGGGCCTTCCTTACTCTTTATACACAATACTATCTTCTTGATACACCATGTTGTGTATATGTGTAAGATATCCACTATAGAGATCTGAAACAGCCAAGAATCTTGAAAGTCTATCCCTGCTAATTTTAACTTATGAGTCTTTTACTCCCAACTGCTTAAAATAAAAATAGAACATAACTATAGATTTTTAAACTTCAAAATAAGCAATGCATGGGAAATTTTAAAAATCTTGAAATAGTTAGGTCAGGCAGGTATGGAACTCAGCTTGTCAGAACCAAAATACTTCCTCATCTCTGTTTTTAACATTAGATAGTTCTCAGGTAAAAACAAGTGCTCTTTATATTGTAAATATCAGTACTCGAGACACTTTTTTGCTGGGATGGAGCTCTATATTTTAGATCTGTGCCTCAAGATGTTGAGCTCTGCTCTTATATAAAGAAATTTTAAATTAACATCTACAAAAAAGCATTAAAGGAGAAAATGGATTTTTTTAAAACAACAAACAGGCTTATTTAAAAGTTGAAGGTTTAAATTAGGAAACAGAACAGGAGCCAACTTGCATTCTTACAGAGAGCCTCAGACTTCCTGTGATCCAACCCAGTAAATGTCCCTCCTTGTTTTATTCTTCAACTCACACTGCTCAGATTGAATCCTTTCCAATTAGCATTGCCTGTCCAGGTAAAAGATCCATGGTATCTACTCCACTTCTTGGGCAGTTAGACTGGTGGGTTATAATCACAGGCCTGGTGATTTATAGGTTTCTCTGTGTGGGAAAGTTACTGCTCAGTGAGCTGAGGTTTGAATTTACAGTACTGCTAGCTTATTCCACTTCCGTTTTTAAATACAGTTGTGAACAAGCTCATTTGAAAGTGAATTTACAGTCCTCAGAGTAGGTTACCTGGCAAATTACTCAGCTACAAATTCTAGCTTCAGTTTGTGAAAAGAGGTTGGTTTCTTTTTTTTTTTTTTTGGTAGACAAATCAAATTTTTCTTTTTATTGAAACTTATTAAATGCAATTTATGCAATGTTTATAGCTTTATTCTATTAAGTTAACCTGGTCACTGTTGCTACTGTTATTAAGGTACATGAGAAAAGAGCCAATTAAAAAAAAAATACTATGGAAGTGCTATAGAGCAAAGGTGAAGTACAGAAGTAAAGCCTACAGTATGACTCAGGTTAGCATTTTAACTGGGTTCTGTTCTAAATATGATGACAATATGCCTTAAGCACAAATGATGTTGTTGCTTGCTCTTATAAGGTATACATCCTATAATTGTTTGACCTTTCTGCATTCTGCATATACTATGACATTATAGGTGTGTGTCTTTCTCATCAGCACTGTGGATATTGGGAAAAAACATCCTAGTAAATGGAGCAAAAAAGTGGCTTACAGAGTTAATGGAAACCCAGTAAAAGGCTAAGAGACAAGAGAACGAGTAGCTCCACCAGAACGCAAAGCGAGTCTGTGAGCCACTTGGATGGGCGCTCCCTTGAAGGAGTTTTTGGGTTCTTTGTATGAAGACGGTTGGTTTTGTTATGTCAGAAACCACCTATAATTATTTAATGCTACTAATTTCCTCCAGCTTCTAGAAAGACAGCACTGCCATGTACTTCTTAAAACACACAGGCTTCTTGTTTAGGATTTCATTTGAAGCATTTCTTTGCCCTAATTAGTCTGTAAATAGGGTGTTGTAATACTTGCTTACACTCAACAGAGTAGCTGCAAGTGCTTTCAGGTTCTTTAATGAAAGGCACCTTCATTGCAAATTGATTTATGAATTTTAAGAAACTTCTGGGTGTGTTCTGTGACAGAGTTCATGTTAGTTTGCCAGCCTATTGCCCTTGTAACATGAAGCATCTAAATGTTGGATGTGGATTCCTAACAAGCAAGCTTATTTTAGAGTTAACCTATGTCATCCAATTTTTTTCTTCTCTGTCCCCTTTCCTTGTTAGACGTGAATATTCCTGAATTCTTGGGAGCAAATAGTGATGCCAGTTAATGACTTCAAATATCCCAACTTGACAGGTAACTTTTTATTCCATCACTCATTGTTATTTCTACAAAATTGTAAGTTCATTAATAAGGTGAAATCCAAGTTCAGTGATCAAAGGAATACAATTATATGACCAAGTGCAAAATGTGAACTTTAGGGTTGCCTATTGACATGTGCTTAAGTTGAGTACCTAAAATGTTTTTAAGCACCGTAGTTACCCCAGCTTTCCACTAGATGACACTTTCACCAAAACACTTTAGTCTCAATTCACGTATTTTCTGATTCTTTCCTTTATTCCCTGTTAGGCTGTCATTTTGTGTTCCTTTTTCTTGAAAGGATTCCTTGGATGCTTGATTACTGCGACTTCTCTGTTTTTCCTGAATATATTAGTGATGCCGTGGAACTGCATCAGTGCTGTGCACAGGTGTTCTTTCTGTGATTGAAATGACCTGTTCTTCAATCCTCACCTTTTCCTAGTGGCATGATGGGCAATTGAAAGCTATGAAGATTTCAGAGCCTTAGCAAGCACACCATTTGATTTGGCCAATTCTCATCATATGTCAGTCTATTGAAATGCAAGTAATATTTAAAATAAAAAATGTTGTAAAAGGTAAATGTAGTCTGTACTATTGTCAGTACCAATTACTTCAGAAATTAAAAAATCCTCTCTAAAGTATTACTGCATAAATGCTTGTGCAGTAAGGACCAAAGTCAAAGTCTTTAAAGAAACTTAATAACCTAAATGGCTTGAATTTTGGAAGTGCCTAAATCCTCATAAATGTGCTATCCTGCAGAATTTTCAGGCCTGCATCAGGCATATCAGCTGCTTTGTACAGTTCAGGGAACGTTGGATGTGTAAGTAAGATACTGTAGAAATGTGGAGAGGACGGCTTGAGTGAATGATGAGTGAGGCATTAGGGAAAAAGATGGAGGCAGAGAGGCAGGCACCACCACCTGGGACCAAGGCACTATCAACCTTAGCTTGGCGTACCTCACTGTCAGGCAGAGAGGGGAACTGTTTCTATCCAGGAGGACACCCCTTGGGTAGAGGGCAGCCACCTGCCTTGGAGATCAGCAATCCGGAGACAGTTGTTTAGGCAGGCCATAAGCTGAGAAGCAAAACCTTTCTTTGAACCATATCTCTATTTCCTGTTTGTGCTCAGTCTCCCACGCCTCTTTCTTTAGGGTGGTGGCCCTATTGGATGGACTACCTGAGTCCAACTCATATGATGCAGAGCTTGGAAGGCAAGAGGGGTAAGAATAGACTGAGTGCACCTAGAGAGCTAGTATGCTGTGATTTTCTACCTTGTTAAAGATTCTTACTTTGGGCACTTGGGACTTGGGCTTGAGTGAGAGGATCAAGCAGTCTGATAGCTGTGTGCTGGTAACAGCAATTGGGTGGCTTTGCAAACACTAATCGTCAGGAACTTGGGTATCTGGGAGGCTTTGCTTTGGGACTGGGTATCTATATAGTGATTCTGCAGAGACAGATTGGCACCAAAGCAGCTTCAAGGATCTAAGCAAGCATACTTGCTAAAGTCAGTGACTCATATCCATACAGAAAGTGTTCCGCTCCTGATTCAGGCCTTTATTATTTTAAACTCTTAATTAAGTCTCTTTGAACCCACAGGTGCAGCCACTTACTGATGCTTATTTGTTTTCTTTTATTTGTCACAGGCTTTCATTTACCAGAATATTTTAGGCAGACGATTGAACTAGAGGTATTTGAGGGGATTTTAATCTGTTCTTGGAAACTGTGACCAACTTGTTACTTTTCTGCTCTGTTCTCTGGACACTAGTATGGGCATAAGTTTGTAGGCAGGTCTCCAATAGGTGATTAGACCATTACCATTCCCATTTACAGGCTGATTTAAAGTTGATTATGTGTTTATGGCTGCTAAAGTATTTCTTATGGAATAGTATTGTTTTTAAATTTTCAATAGTCAAATATTAGGAAAAAGAAAGTTTTCAGATATATGACAAATGAATGAAATATTTGGGATTCACATGTTTTTTCATGTCTGCCTACTGACTAGCCAAATATTTACAAATTTCAAATATGAACACATTGAATATTACGTTCACTTTCAGATGCATCATACAACTATTTTAACCACTCTCTTCCAAACCCACTGTTGATGTGCTGATTTTTTTCTTTGCTTTAATTTCTGTGAAGTTATTTCACAATACCTGAGCTGTTAAATTACGCTTACTAAGTTATTTCACTCTTAGTTAAGTTGTTTCATTTTATGATTTCTTAAAGCACTGTCTAGAATCCAGGCAGTAATGCAAATCACTGAACTTCAGTCATTGTGTTCTTTCTGTATCGATGAATGATATTTTGGGTTTGAGTTTATTTGGGTTTTGGGGGGTTTTTTGGTTTGGGTGTTTTTTGTTTGTTTTAGGGTTTTTTAATCCAAAGTAGAATAACTTGGAGGGATTCAAAGGACATCTCATGGAGTAAAGCTTGGCATAGAGGCATAAGAAGGATAGGAGGCAACTGTAACAAATGTTCATTCTGGGTTTGGCAGAGGAAATTTCAATCCATCTCCCATATCTGCAGGTCAATGTCCTCATCACTGAGTGTGCAGAGAGAACACTGTTGTAGTTGTTTTGGTTTATTTTATTTTATTAAATATGTCTGGAACCTAAATAAAATAATACATTTTTGTGTCAAAATATTTAAATGTTTTCTGTTGACAGAAATTATTGGAAAAATCTCAAACGGTTTTCATAATTTTGGGGGAAGGGAGGTGGAGTAAGCTAAGAAGTTGCAAAACTGATTGTGTGCTAGAACATAAATGCACACAAAGTATAAATAAATTCTGTAACTTTTAGGTTAAATTTTACTGTCAACTTCAAAAACATTTAATGCATGTCCTCTGTTTATTTCACAGTTTAGCTGGGAAAGTTTGTAACTGTTCATTTTACTCTGACCTCCACTTGGAGGGAGTGCTATGCAGACTTTCTGAAAGCTGGGACTTCTGATTATATTATAATACAAATGTCCACTGGTGATCATATTCAGAGAGTCTAAATTCGGCTTAAGTCTAGTGTTCTACATTGTTTTCCTATAGGTAATTGAAGATGTCTACCCAGAAGAGAACAGGAGGTGTTGGGATTTATGGAACTTTAAATGTCTAAAAATAATGGCTTATGCTGAAATATCTCTGAATTCATCCTAGTCTTAAAGTATTTTTGAAACATGGCAAGTTGTGGGACATTGAGAGTACCATGCTATAGGTGAGGTACCAAGATCTCTCCCTCCCTTCAGCTGCAGGACTCTCCCTAATAATGCTGGAAGTTAAAATGAATCATTTATGAGCATCAGTAGACACATGGGTGGGGCCTCTTTGTAAACTGGTATTTTGTTGACGCAATATGTGTGACAGCCTTTTAGTTCTGAATATAAATGTTACTGAGAGGAAATTAGGTTGGTACGCAGAGGAGATCAGCCAGACCTTGCAGTGAATCTTTCTGAAGGAGCAGGTACCTCCACCAGAACTGTGCTTCAGATACTAGTACATGTAGAAGAAAAATGGAAGGTGAGTGTCTTGAAACTTTACTATCACTTGACTCAGTTCTGAAAACGGAAATAATTAAATGGTCGGGTGTAAGGACATAAATTGTACATATTGCTGTGTGGAATCAAGTCTAGGGATTACTTCTATGGTTTAGATTTTATTGTGGACTTAATGAGAAAGAAAAAAACCAACTTTTGGAAAAAACCTTTCCTTTTATAAAGGCAAAAGAGAGCTATGGAGAAGAACTGGTGAAACAACAGCCAATTCTGAGAATAAGAAAGAGCATGGAAAAGAATACATTTTATTTCCAGCATAAACTACAAAGTACTTGTTTTCAGTATTCTCATGCTAGAAGCAATTATTTCACAATGGGTACCTGAAGTATCCTCTCTGGAATGGAGGCAAAATGTGAATTGATAGAGAAAACCCAGTGACTGGTATTGAAGGTCAGGTTTCTACCAGAGAGAGAAAACCAGTAAGAGATGTGAAATTGATTAGCCTTTACTATTTTCTCTGAGCTGCCTTTGCTTAAGAAAGCAATTGTTAGCTCCTTTGTGATCCAGTTGTGATAATTAACTCTGATAAGCAAACTGTGGGCTGACTTCAGAGAACTTCCCTGGGAAACATGTAATATCTCAACTCCCTGATGTTCCGGTTCAGCTGGATTAATGAGTGGATGAAGTGTAGTTGTCTTGGTTTATAAATGCCTCCAAAGTATGAGCGAGGATCTATCAGGTTCTTTCAGTGTTCTTGACCACAGGAATTCATCATGTGTGCTATAAGCACTTCTGATCCTTTCTGTTCAATCAGCACACTTTGTGTTATGGTTGACAACTCTCATTAAGATATGAGATTTTCAGTTCAATTCTGTTACTCTTTCTTGTCAGCAGGTATGATGCATTCATGAGCAATAATGATGTAATGCATTGCCATATTTTTTTATTGTTGTTGATAGTGTGAATGTTTTTAACATGGGTAACGCCCAGGTCTGCATTTATCAGCTGATCTTTGCTGAAGAGCTGAATGACCAATTCATTACCAAATTTAAATGGTTAGATGAAAACTGGAATTATTTTCGTTCAAGGAAACAAATCAGAAAAAGTTGCCTTCCCCCCCCATCCATCCTCCCCTCCCAATTAATTTAAATTATGATTTACTTCAGGATGTGGTCCTGGGAAAATCCACTGATTTGTGTTAAAAGTGTCTAGGTCCCATGGGCTTAGCTATGAGTCTCCTTTTATGTGGATACACCCTTAGTTCTGGATGGGAAAAATTAGTTTCCCCTAAATACCAACTCTGTATTCAACTTAGTGCCGATATAGTTAGGGAAGTTGCATTGTTTGTTTGTTCTGCAGGCTTAGCAGGACCAAACTTAACCCTTAAGAATTAAAATTATGTACAAGACTTTGTAGTTCAGTAAGTCCTATTTCCAAAACTGCTGAGAATCTATGGCTCCCATTGTCTTCAATTAGAGTGAAACACTTTTGAAAATAAAAAGTTATATGCAAATAAGTAAAAATTAGTGTTGCCACCCATCCTTCTGGCACCAGGATGATAATTACCCCTATGAAATGACTGATATCCAGGCAGGATGCCTAAGGGGGGAGCAGCTTAGATTTTTGTCAAGCTAATCATAGAACTTGGGATAGCTTGTCAGCATTTTTTAAAATGTCACAATTTGTGAATATTTCCTTCTCCATTAAGGTCCTCAAAGATGTCTGCAAACTTTTTGTGACTTTGGGATATGCAAGTTGAGACATTTACATGCATATTTAACAGTATTTACAGTTTCAGAGGGATATTTATTCGTATCTATTTCTTTCATAACTGATTTGGAGTGCCACTTAACCTTTCAAACACCTACATTTCTTATCAAATCTTTTATTTGTTCAATTTACTTTATTATTTTATTACTTGTATAAAAAACAACTTTCGACTGATAGCATGTGGAAAATGTTTCTGTCTAGCTGTGGTTGAAAAGTAACTGTCTGTAGACAGCGTGTTTTGATGTGGAGAGAATATTACCATGCAAAATCAATTTTTCAAGTAGAGATACTAATATCATACTTTGGCATCAGGTATTTATAAAGCAAGAAGACACTATTTAAAAGATGTGAAAACTGTAGCTCAGCTTTATAAATCAAAGCGTTATGCAAGTTTCCACCTGCAAGGTAGGGAAGTAGTGAACTTGTGAGGATACTTTTATGGATGTATGTCTCAATCTCAGTGTTGCTGAATTTTGAACAAACTCTTGAATGAATTTTTTGAAATAGTTATCTCTCATCATTATCTCCTCTTTCATATAATCTTGACCTCAGGCAATGATGGGAACTCAATTATCTTTTTTTTGCCTTTGTGTTCCTTTCTCCATCCTGCAGTCATTGAGCTGGGAGAAGTCGACCTGAACTGTCCTTCCAACTGCCAAATTCATAATACCCATTTCTTCGGAACCGACAGACAGATCATAAGGAGAGGGCAAGCCTTCAGCTTTTATGCTCGCTTCCAAAATCGGGAATGGGATGACTCTGTGGACCAGGCCATTTTCACCGTGGAGACAGGTACTCACTCCCAAGCTCTATGTAGTCTTTCCCAGTCCTTTGCTGGTGAGTAATATATCCCATAGTCTTCAATGACAAATAGTATCTACTCATTCATCCTCTGTGTGAAGAGACTACCTTCCCCTAACTCAGGCAGTTCTGCTAACATGTAAAGTTTTCTCACTCTGCTACAGAAGTCACAAGTGAAAAAGAAATCCACCCTTGGGAGCTTTGCATTGCAAATGATGGCTAAGCAAATTACTTGCCTTTTACATGTGTTTTGTTTAGTCTGATTGAAGTTGTATTTATTTTCCTGAAAAGGTCTCAGACCCTGCGAATCAAATGAGACGAAATGTACCTTCCCAATGGGCAGATGTCTAGATCAAACCTGCTGGAGTGCTTCCTACAAAATTCATCATCCAAAATGCATCAGTATCAGCGTGTTTCCTCCCTCCAACGCCTGTGTTGGCCGTTATATTCTCAATATGCAAATCACATCTTGTGGTCACACATATCAGCGATGTCTTGGAGATTTCTATGTCCTTTTTAACCCTTGGTGTGCAGGTAACAACTCTAGTGATGATCAGAAAATTTTAAGACAAATGTTAGTGATGAGTAAAAATATCGAACTTAGCTGTAAAAATTTAGTAAAAATATCATTACTTAGCTGGTAAGTAAGGGATGGAGTCACAGAAATAATGAGAAACAGGGAGGGATTTTGTTTTGTTAGTTTTTTTTTTTTTCTCTGAGTTCAAGACTGTCTCAAGACAGTGTTTTGATTTGGTTTCTCAATGGTAGTAGGGATGTAGTGTAATTTCCCCCACACACACTTTTACAATGTCTTGACAGGACAAGAAGCAATGGGCACAAACTGAAACACAGGAGGCTTCCTCTGAACATCAGGAAACAACTTTTTACTGAGAGGGTGACTGAGCTTTGGCACAGGTTGCCCAGAGAGGTTGTGGAGTCTCCATCCTTGGAGATATTCAAAAGCCATCTGGACATCGTCTTGGGCAATTGGCTCCAGGTGTACCTGCTTGAGCAGGGGGGTTGGACCAGACGACCTCCAGAAGTCCCTTCCAACCTCAACCATTCTGTGATTCTGTGAATTCTGTGGTATCACCATGAAATAATATAGTACAAATACAAATGAAATTCCGTAGATCTGGCTCTGGTAGCAAGCAATTCTGGAGTCTGCAGGACCTTGCCAAAATCATTACATGGCAAATATTCACATTGTCTGTGCTTTTAATTTGATCAAAATCAGATACCTAACTCTAAGTGCACAGTGTTTGACTCCTAGAACAGCTTAGTGTGAAGATAAATTGCAAGCTCTGTAATTCAGGTGTACTACAGCAGGGAGAGACTTAATAAGGATAATATCTAGCTGTAAGTAGAAATGAATTTGTGGCTCTTTAGAGCCCACACCCTTGAACATGTTTAAAAGTATAAATCAAAAATAGGTAGGAAAAGAAAGAGGGATCCATTGAAGTAGAAGATACTGAAGTGCTAGAAATGTACATATTGTCTGACCAATAGCTTTACATATTTTCCAGATGACCCTGTATATATGGACAATCAGGCCCATAGGGAAGAATATGTTCTGAATGAACATGGGATACTGTATGAAGGAGTTCACAAGCATATTACCTCTCGCCCATGGCACTTTGGACAGGTACTTTTTGAAGACTTGTTCAGAAGTAGATGTCATCCATATACAGATAAATGAAACGTTATCCATATATTTTCAGAAATGCATGCTATGTTATGGAGTGTGAAAGGTTTTTAGGACCAGCCCAGAGCATGCATGCACAAAGCAAAATGTTTGGGACTCTCACTGTAGCCCAAACAACTGGAAGGAAGTTTTCTGTTGTAAAATTAAGGAAACTGCAGAGCGTTCTTGGAAAAGGGGAAACAGAATACTGTGCTTGTGAAGGAAAATTAAATTATTCCATTGGTCAAGCATAAGCAAAAATGACATATTTTTCCCTTTGATTTTCCTTCAGGCAGATAGTCAAAACCATGCAGACCACTAGGAGCTGTGCTTAACCAAAAAAAAAAAAAAAAAAGGCCAGGGGTGGAGAGAGGGAAGCTCATATGCATGAAAAAGATTGGATTGACAAGAAAGGAACTTTATCAATGTCAGAATACCATGATACCTGTGTTGTCTTCTCTTTCCTCAGTTTGAAGATGGGATTCTAGATATCTGCTTGAAGATCCTAGACATGGGTGCAAGTTACCATCATGGCTCTGACCGTGACCATTGTTGGCGCAATGATCCTGTGCATGTCAGCATGGTGGTAAATCACATGGTAAGACCTCCAGTGTGACTTCTGAATAGATCAGGTCGCGCTTCATTATATTATAGAAGGACAAATTGCATTGTAATCTAACATAGTACAACTAGCAGGGAAAATCCTTTCTGTGCCCAGATTCACAGGAAAAACTTACTTGTAACACTAATCTCTGAAGATTTGTGATATGCTGAGGATGTGAAGACATGGTCAGCTATTTGAAATGGTTGTTTTTCTTTTCTCTTTCTAGATAAGCAGCCATACCACTAATAGTATCATGAAGATTCCAGAAAACAACGATTACCTGAAAGGAACAAAACCATTTTGCTGGAATGGAAGTGTCTCTATTCTTCAGCAGTGGTACAACGGCAGATGCAGGCCAGTCAGATATGGGTACTGTGGGTCTCTTGCTTCAGTAATGTGCACAGGTATGATATTTCAGTCTGCCCTTACCTAGTTATCCGAAAAGGAAGAGAGAAAACCAGAATCAAAAACTTCTGACCCTAAAAACCACTAGAAGAATACTGCTCATAAGCATTTTATTAGAAAAAAAATGGGATATTTTTCTCTTGTTAAGATATGGCATGGCTCCTAATGCAGTGTTTATTATCAACCTATTGCTTTCCTATACAGTGTGAAGAGCAAGAAGAAAAGCAGTACTGTCTTTTCTGTGACGTTTATACCATGCAGCTATCAATACTGCAGCTTTTATTAAAACACAGAGCAAGTACAGCATTGTGGAGCCAAAACTTATCCTTTGGGTGAGGTTTGAAGGATGAGAAAAAACACTAAGTTATGAACAGGAAGAAGACCTCTAGCAATGTCTCCTCCAAAACATAAAAGCAGCAAGCTACTATCTTCTTCTACTGCAAAGGATGAGATAATAGTGAACTAAACTCTACAGACTCAGAAAAAATCTGAGTTCTGACTTTATAGCATTTATTTACTAAACCTGCTTCTACATTGAAGAAAATTAAATTGGTATTCCATAGATGAATCTGTGTGTATTACACTCTGTTTGCAATAAAAAAAATGATGGTCTTTTATTAATGCAGGATCAGATTCATTACTTCTGAACTTACAACAGATTTGTGTTTTGCTATGTTTTGTTTTGTTTTTAAAGCTGGAAGACTAACAAGCTATTCCTTTCTGCTAGGCTCTTTTAAGACTGCTTTTCAACCACTAAAAAGAAGTTTTGAAGACAGAATCACTGCATTCCAAATATTGCCTCCTATCCATTGTGTTTATATAATTGGAAAGTAGAATATAGGAGAATTATTTATAAAATAAGTGAAGGATTTGCTTGATTAATTGCAATTTGTAATGACTCATGAATATTTTTTTACTTACAGTGATGAGGTGTTTGGGAATTCCAAGCCGTGTTGTCACGAACTTCTGTTTTCCATGCTCAATTGAGAATCCCCTTGGTATCAATGAGATTTTTGACTATACTGGAAAAAACCTGTGTGGTAAAGACAAGCTATGGTAAATAAGAAATAAAAAAGCTCTTTTGGTTTTGTCAAAAATTAAATGATAGAGAGACTAGTATAAATCTAGCAGATCAGTGTATCTCTTTCTTTGGTGTGGCAAGGCTGTTCAGTTTCATAATAATACATTTCAAAAACATGAAATTACTGAAAAGGCTCAATCTACATTTTCAAAAAAGAAAAAAAAAAACACTTGTGAGAATTGATGCTACCTGCTTACCCTTCTCAGTTGAAAGAATAAGTCCATCAGTCTTAGTAGCTTTAAAAATATTAAGTAGATCATGAAATGCAAGGGAAAATTTATCACAAATTAGGACTATTATCTTCAATCATAATCACTGAGTTGATAATTATGTTGTATTCCTGAGATTCCTTATCATGGATTGCTTCATTCTTGAAGCATTGAACCTTTCAGTTCATGTTCGTATAGCTATGACATTATCACTCATCATAGCAGAATTTCATGTTTTCACCCTTGGCCTGTATGTTCACGGTTTCACTGCACCAGCATTTTGTTTGTATCCAAGTCTGATCCATGAGCGCTTTTAATGTATTTTCTGCCCTTTCACGCATCAAAAAGATGAGGTGAAACTGAAATACTAAGGGAGTGAGGATCTTATTTTAGCACAAAAGATTTAAGGGTTTATTCTTTGTTAAGCCATTAAAAAGAAGACTAAGACAGTATGTGATTTTCCTCTAAAGAACCAAGAGGAAAATGTTAGGGGAAAAATAATAGTTAAACAAAAGAACTGTGTTGGCACATTATCAACTAAAAATAAAGGGCTATAAGAAGAATGTTTTGCAATCAGGTCTGCAGGGTCCTGGAACAAATTTCCAGTCTGAGTGATATAAAGCAAAACAAACAACTCCTGTCCCCAAACATCATTACTGGTGTTAAGACATAGAGAGTCTTTAGTTGATTAAAAGGTTATCTCTGACATGATTTTCCTCCATCGTAAGGCATTGAACCTGATGATCCAAGAGATGTCCTTAATCCTATATTCCTGCATCCTACAGGCGATATCACTGCTGGAATGAATCTTGGATGGCTCGCAGAGACCTAAATCAATGCTGTGGTGATTGGCAGTGTCTGGATCCAACACCTTTGGAAACAGGCAGAGGTAACTGTTTACTATAACTGTAATTGTTTTCCTGAGCTTATGTTGTTGAGTTTCTCTACTACTCAGATTACAATTTATTATAACATTTTTGTTATCTGGCTTAGGTTCAGCTTGCAGCGGTCCTACATGGGTTCGAAGCATCAGAGAAGGGGAACTGGACTTGGACTATGATGGTCATCATATGTTTTCTCGAGTAAATTCAAACTATGTTGGCTGGCTTTCCCAAAACAATGCTAAAAAAACAAAATTTTTCTGCGATGCTTGGCCATGCGGACAACATCTAATCACCAAGAGTGTGGGCAGTGAGCAATTCGAAGATATCACTGGGGCTTACAAGTATGAACTAGGTATGATGAAAAGTCATTAAATGGGTTAGAGGAAATTTTAAATGATAATCATATAAAATTATCAATGTAATCTCTCATGTTAAAATGAGTAGAACAATCTGAAGTTATCTTTTTTTGAGAAAGAGGCCTTTCTGTTCAAAGATCTTGATTCTTAAACTTCTAAACATATTTAGATCATTCAAAGAAAACACACAGTAATTACATCCATTTAGGACAGGACAGGACAGGACACAACAGGACAAGGTAGAATAGGACAGGACAGGACAGGACAGGATAGGATAGGATAGGATAGGATATTTTAGTTGGAAGGGACCTATAATGATCATCTAGTCCAACTGCCTGACCACTTCAGGGCTGACTAAAAGTTAAAGCATATTATTAAGGACATTGTCCAAATGCTTCTTTTTAAGGCACTGACAGGCATGGGACATCAACCACCTCTCTAGGAAGCCTGTTCCAGTGTTTGACCACCCTCTCAGTAAAAAATGTTTCCTAATGTCAAGTCTAAAGCTCCCCTGACACAGCTTTGAGCCAATCCTGCACGTCTTATCAGTGGATCCCAGGGAGAAGAGATCAGCACCTCCCTCTCCACTTCCCCTCCTCAGAAAGCTGTAGAGAGCAATGAGGTCACCCCTCAGCCTCCTTTTCTCCAAACTAGACAAACCCAAAGTCCTTAGCCGCTCCTCACAGGACATGCCTTCTAGCCCTTTTAATACTACTATTCGTATGTACATGTTTTAGTTTCACCTGTACAGTAGTTTAAAATATTAACAGAGTTTAGATAATCTAAAAAAACCTAAATTCTTTTAAACCCAGGATTAACTTCTTACTTGTTCCTTCTTGCACCAGGTCTGTCAGAAAATATGCTTACTTACTAAATTCGTGTATTATTAGGATATTCTGCTGTTCTTAACTTTGGGCTACTGATTACTCATTTTCATCTTCCAGTAGTAAGAAGGAATCCAACCAGCAAAATTGCCTAAAGGAATGAAGAGTGGGTCACAGCTGATTGTAACTTTACAAGCTCTGGGTTGTTTTTTTTAATAGGACAAAAAAGAAAAAAATTGATAGTTTCTCTGTTTGAATGGTGTATTTTGCCTTTTGAATTCACTTTAGGGTGATCACTCAAAAATCAGCATAGTAACATTTCATATTCACCCTAACCCTTATAAAGAGTTATATTTTGAGTTTTGCACTAACTATACATTTTGAGATTTATATGACCATTTTTAAATTTAACTAATAAAAGTAAAGTAATTTTTTTAATATTTTTTTGAGGTATTTATTTTCTTCTATGCATTCAGACTACTGTATCTTGTGTTTCATTATCTGGTGGATTTGTTCTACATCAAGCCACTACATTAGGTTTCAGGAAGGAGGAGGAAGAAATTTAATTATCATTTATTTGGGTAGATATGACTTCTTGTGCCTCCAGCACGTTCATTATCATGTATCTTCTTCAACAGGTTCTGTGAAAAACAAAGAAGCCTATTACCGGGCTTACAGACGAATTCATCCAGGATATTGCAATGCTTCCAACTGTCATATTGAGAGAGACTTATCGTCTCTGAAAAACCCTTTTTTGAGTGACTCTGGTATTAACATGAGGTTAAAGATGGCTAACTGCCCAATGTATGGTGAAGATGTCCAACTGCACTGGCTGCTGGAAAATTTGCGTAGTGAAAACAAAACCCTGAAATTTAATTTGTCTGCACAAATAATAACCTACAGTGGTTGCCCAATGGATCAGTTTTGGAAAGACAGTGTGAATGTCACGTTGGGTCCAAGGGAAGGTAAGAAGATGAATTTGTCTAATACCCTTTTGTCCACTGTTCTTTTCAGGAGATAGTTTGTTTTTTAGGATTAGGGGAGACTTCCTAATAGTGGTGGGAAGTGAAATGAATACAGTGTTAAATATTGACAGCTGAATTCACTTTAGGGTGATCACTCAAAAATCAACACAGTGTCAATATTACATGTATAGTGACAGGTAAATTGTAGTCTTTCCTTAATTTCTCAAGGCTTAGAGATTCTTCTGATAATTTAAAAACTTATTTCCACTAAAAGTTTCATTCTGGATTCTATATTCAATACAAAGATAAAGTTGCAACTGTCTATCAGAAAAGCAATTTGTTTGCTTTGGCCAGAAGATATTAGCCAGTGTAAAACACTTCTTTTGAGCACTAAAGTAGTTATTTCTAAATATACCATATGCTGGGAAGTGCAGAGGTGTAACAGAACACAAACACTTGTTTTCATGATTAGTATCCTTTTCTGAAAGAAAAATGACACATCATTATAAGACAAAATCTCATACCTGATATTAACATTCTGTTTTACTAAGCTTTATTTTGCCTGCCTTTGAATTATTGCTTTAAGAATTACACTGGAATGAAAGTTTTCAAATTTTGAATAACAATAAACCAACCTCCTTGTAAATGCACCAATATAGTTATATTAACTGAAAACTGTGAAGCTGGTTGTGGAAGGTAGCAATGTATCACCCTAAGCCAGGAAAAATCATGTCTGTTTTCAAAGATGCTGTGATAACTTAATATTTAATTAAGCCATTGTAAGTGCCAGTTAAACTTTAGGAGGAAGGAAAGTGGAAATAGTAGCCAAAAAAGCAGAAAAAATAATTAAAATAAATTTGTTTTACAGTGAAAAAAATTCCACTGTGTATATCATATAGTCAATATGGACCTTATCTCTGTGATCACAACATTATGAAAGTAGTTGCTGTCTCAGATCCAGAGTGTGGAGAAGTTCTGATGGTGAGCAGGGATATCGTGATCAACAGGCCACCTGTTATCATAAAGGTAAAGAACTTTAATTATGGGATTTGTGATCTAAGGAACAGACTTATGGACTCTTATTGGCCGCTTCCTAGGTACAATGCCGATAAACTTGAAATTCTTTCTTTTTTCCTTTTCTTTTATTATATTTTTTTTTTTATTTTAGCAAGATCAGTGTGATTTTAAATGTATAACAGTTGACTTAGAGTGATGTATAGAGAACATAGAAGTAAATCAGAAAGAAACATGTACGAATAATCATTTTTTTCTTTTTTTTTCTTACATTTATTTACTTCATTTTTAATTTTGTAAGGGTTACAAAACATAAAATATGTTTGTTTATTTTCTGACTAGCTACTGAGCCAGCCCAGGCTTAAAATACCATGTACTGCAGAGATCTCCTTCTGCAATCCTCTCCAGGAAGATATGAAGAACTGCGTAATGACGTTAGAAGGCTGTGGTTTATTCAAAGAGCCGCTGACCATTGAGTAAGATCATCAGTTATTTAAATGGAGATAATAGTGGGTCTTGACTAAGGTGTGCTAGATCAGAATAGGTTTTGAAGAAGACGATAGTTCTGATATTTTTGGTGTTTAGCACCTGAATAGGAGTTTTTGCCCCTTATTACTTTGAGACTCCATTAAAAGTCTCACTCCTCTTGAAACTGATGGATCATTTAGAGCTGGCAAGATATGCTGCTGCCTCATTTTTTTCAAGATTTAATTTATGTCTGTGTTTCAAATTTCTGTCTGAAAGGGAATGCACTCTTTTCTTTAAAAGAAATTCTAGCCGCGTCCCCCATCCCTTATAATCCTATTGAGTTTATGATAGAATTCCTCTAAATATTCATGAACTGGCACCACATATGTGAACAATTAGAAAATGACAGAGAAATAGCAATATACATTCTAAGCTTCCAACACGTTAATCACAGGAAGCTGGAAACTTCCAGGATGCTGTAACATCCTAGGAAAAGTAGCTGTTCATTAATATGCATTGCTGTTCTTCATGACAAGGAGAACTGACAGAAGTATGACTAGTTTTGAGGGGAAGCAATTAGGAATTGTTCTCTCTGAATAATAATGAACTTGATTCCACAAAGCTGCCTGATCCAACTTAGGCTACTGGAAGTGAGAAGCAGTAAATACATCTTTGAGGCAGAAGGGTGCTATATTTTTGAAGAATTCAAGCGTATCATGAATGAGTTTCCAGTTCCAATTACAGAACTGACTATGGGAGTTTTCCAAATCTTCTTTTGGGACAGAAGTTGTTACCATGCTTTTCACAACACAGAATGTGTTTTTTTTGAGGAAGGCAAGAATAACAAAGTTGTCATAACATTTTGTCTCTGAAAACATGTTGTAGCAAATCAAACCTAATCGTGTGTGCTCATCTTGTAGCACTTCAGGTCTCTGAGCTACCCATGGTCGTAATTCTTTTCCTTCTCTTGGTCCAGTTTGGGAACGTTGGCAGCCAACCAACAGGCACGGACCATCGTGGAGTTCACACCTTACAGGCTTGGCAGCCACCGCCTCCTGGCCAACTTCGGATGCCACAAGTTTGCCTACTGCAAGGGATGCGCCAAGGCTGAAGTGTGTTGCCCCACAGGCCAGAACGGCACCCTGCCCATCAGCCAGAATGGGTCGCTCCCAGTGTGTGAGAACGGCTCCCTCCCCATGAACAACTCTGGGCCTGTTCCCGTGGCAGATCCTGCGTTCAACTCCACGTGTGAATACATATGTATCCCAGTGTGCAACCCAAACTGCAGTGCAGGAGGCCAGCCTGTGTATGACTTCGTGTACCTCCCTGCAGGCCATCCCTTATGCAACTCCATCTGCAACCAAGGCTTCAATCCAAGTGCCAATCCTGGTTTCAACCTGGGAAGCGATCCTGGCTTCCGTGTCATATGTGAGACTGTGCCTCCCGCTACGTGTGCCCCGATGCCTCCGTCCATGTATGGCTCCATGCCTGCCCCAACATCCAACCCCGTGTGCCCCCCTATGCCTCACGTGGTGTTCGAGACGGGTCCTGCTCCCACGCACCAGCCTGGAGGCGGAGGGGGACCGATGTCCTACTCTGTCTCTGTTCCCACAAATAATGCGGTGAGTGCCCTGCTGACCCACTTCATGGCTGGCTCTGGTCCCACTGTGGCAACCCAGGCAGTCCCTACCCATATGTCTGCTCTGCCATCCCACCCTATGTGCTCTCCAGTAGCCCATGCTGTCGGCAGTCCCATGCCGCCACCAGCTGCTCTTTCAGTGCCTGCTGCCTCCATCTCGCATGTCGTCTGTGGCTCCGCACCCTCTCCCACTGCCCAGCCTCCGTGTGGCTCAATGGCCACCCTGCCCTCCCAACCCCTCAGCACCCCGGTAGCCCATGGCATGTGCTCCCCAGGCCCCTGCCCAGCAGCTTCCCCGGTGCCCCACTCTGCCACCCGTAGTGCCACCCCAGCAGGGCTGCAGATGGGGAGTGCCCCGGTGGCCCATTCGCTGTGCTCCCCGGCTCCCCGCCCTGTGGGACCCCCAGCGGCCCACTCGCTGTGCTCTCCGGCCCCCCGCCCAGTGGGGCCCCCCGCAGCTCACTCACTGTGCTCCCCCACCTCTGTCTCACTGGGGGCCACGGGGGCCCGCCCCACCAGCTCACCTGCTGCTCGCCCTTAGGACTCATCAGCAGC